CATAGGAGCTGTCCAGCAGTAGTCAAGGGTATGTTTTAAGCCTGGGCTCTTGGAACCTGAGGGCACACAGCAGAGGCTTGGGGAGAAGGTATTACTACACCAAGTAGGAGATCAGACAGCCCTACAGTTGCTTCCAACCCTGAAACACTACAACAACCATAGGTCACCTATACGTCTTTAAGGGATTGACATGGGAAGCAAGGCCAAGGCAAAGTTGTTTGGAAAACTGACCTGTGGGTCATCTTCTGAGATTTATTGTCTGCTTTCCTCCTGCTGCCCCACTATGTTCCTTCAGACCCTTCCATCGAACTCTTCCTCCAGTGTTTTTTTTCTCAACAGTAACAGTCAGATAATATGTTTAGCCACCCTTATGATCAGTGAATTTGACTACATGACATTATCTCCCTAAATCTTAAATAGTTCTTTCATTAAAAAATGTTAAAGAGTATGGATCATCCCTCATTCCTGCCTGCTTCAGAGAAAGAAAGAAAAATAAAGTACTTGGCACAGCGCCAGACATAGAGTAGTGCTGATTGCTTTCTAATGCTTTAAAAACAAAGCAAATAAAATACATTGCCCAAAATGCATGTTTCTTGCACGCATCTGTGCTTGGCCTCAAAAAACACATGTTTGCACACAACACATGCATTTTTCTTTCATGTATTCTGAATGATATTCCAGCACTTGCAGCCATGTTCAAACAGACTTGTTCAACATTTTATAATTTCTATAACATTCGCTCCATTTGGCCAACCCCTAGCCCTGTGCAGTGGGCAAGGCAAGGGTGAGTAACCTCAGATAACAGAAGAAGTCAGAAAATGGAGCGTTTAGGGGGGAAGAGGGTCCCCTGGTCTCGGTGCTAATAGGTGGCAGAACTCAGGACCCCAATTCACCAGCAGGCAGCATTCTTAGATCACCACCATTTTCATGAATTATTTGGCTCTATTTTGACCTAGGATATACTAATTCCATTTCATGCAGTTTAAATATTTCATACATAGTATATTTTCATGTATTTTACATATTTTTGTTTAAGTTGGTTTTATATTTTTCTTGAATAGAGAAGAGCCCTATGAATATGATCAACTTTGGGAAGAATAAAATGCTTAAATGCTGCAAAATGATACTTCATCAGTCCAAACTGTGTAAGATGTACATAGATGCAAACTGTGCAAAGGGGGTCATGTGTTCAAAACCTTGGGGTTTCTCTGCTGTTTTCAGGGAAATATATAGGTCTTGTGCTCCACTGTAAGCCCAGGGCCAAGAACAATGTCTGGCACCTAGTAGGCTAATTTCTATAACATTCGCTCCATTTGGTCAACCCCTAGCCCTGTGCAGTGGGCAAGGCAAGGGTGAGTAACCTCAGATAACAGAAGAAGTCAGAAAACGGAGAGTTTAGGGGGGAAGGGAGTCCCCTGGTCTTGGTGCTAATGGTGGCAGAACCCAGGACCCCAACTCACCAGCAGGCAACATTCTTAGATCACCACCATTTTCATGGATTATTTGGCTCTATTTTGACCTAGGATATACTAATTCCATTTCATGCAGTTTAAATATTTCATACATAGTATATTTTCATCTATTTTACATATTTTTGTTTAAGTTGATTTTATATTTTTCTTGAATAGAGAAGAGCCCTATAAATATGATCAACTTTGGGACGAATAAAATGCTAAAATGCTGCAAAATGATACTTCATCAGTCCAAACTGTGTAAGATGTACATAGATGCAAACTGTGCAAAGGGGGTCATGTGTTCAAAACCTTGGGGTTTCTCTGCTGTTTTCAGGGAAATATATAGGTCTTGTGCTCCACTGTAAGCCCAGGGCCGAGAACAATGTCTGGCACCTAGTAGGCCATCCCTAAATATTTGCTACTACTGCAGCAAAATGAAAAAATAAAAAGTTTTGCAAGTAATTGCCCAGTTACTTCTGTGGGCAAGCCTGAGTATAGGAAGGATTTGTTTTTTAAAGCTGGCAACCCCTGCAATTCCCCCAGTGAATGAAAAAAATTCCATGATGAGCTACGGACATCCTTGTTCGCATTGCACTGGGGATGTCAGAAATGACTAACAGGAGCCTCAAAATTCATCACATGAACTCACGTCCCCCAAAGATTCATTCCTGAGGGTTTATTTCAATGAAACGTCTCCCCTGGGACCAGAGGACTCTCTCCCACTCAGGGAAATAAGGATGGATAAGGCAGCAATGGAGCTCAGGGCTTTTCATCTTCCCAAGCCATTAAAATGCAAATCGGGGGAGGAGAGAGAGCTGCAGGCAGGTCTGCCGGGGCCTAGCCTGGTGGAGGCAGCACTCACATCCATCCGTGGTCCGCACCTCCATGTGCACCAGGTCCGCCTCCTTATCCAATCCGGCCACCGACCTGGGGAAGGAAGGAGACAGAAGCTCAGTGACCACAGGATTAAGTGTTTGGTGACAAACATTCAAAATCTGGCCTGACAAGGACAAAATTCTCCTGAAGATCAGAGAGGGAAACCTTACAGGTCTATTGCCAATTGCCAGGAGAAGGAAGGCTGAGAGTCCTTATAGACTATTCCTCCTGGGCCTCACCTTGCACTGATAAAGCCCAGTCAGGGTCTCCAGCATGACATACCCTGGCCAGAGTGCAGGACTCAGAAAACCAGCTAAAAAAAGGCAACACCGACATTAAAGCATTCGTGTACTAAGGCAATCACATAATCCACTCTCTCCTGCAAGCTCTTACTCATAGTCTATGTACTCTTATTTTAAATATCATTCTGGTTTCCTGGTTTTTCAGTCCTTAACAGGTAAGAAGCAGCAAGTTAGAAAGAAAACATGGAATTTTAAATGGTGAGAATCAGCCCGGCCTATGAGGCTCAGTGATTGAGCGTCAACCCAGGAACCAAGAGGTCTCAGTTCAATTCCCAGTCAGGGAATTCGCCTGGGTTGCCGGGCTTGATCCCCAGTAGGTGTCAAGCAGGAAGCAGCCAATTGATGATGTTTCTCTTTCATAGATGTTTCTTATCTCTCTATCCTTCTCCCTTCCTCTCTCTCTAAAAATAAATATAACATTATTTTAAATGATGAAAACCAACAGCTAATGCCTAGATAGCAAGAGAAATAGAAACCCATGAAAAAGACCTATGATTTCAAAACCCAGTCTTCCACACCATAAATCTCTACACTTCTTAATGGCCCTAAGGTCATTACTGTACTATAGCATCAGTATCTAAAATCTATGCTGAGGGACTGAAGGCATAGGAAACAGGAAGCCAGGGGGTAACGGTACCAGTGTACTCTGTTTAGGAGACTAGGGTTACAATTGATGTACGTTAGGAAAAATAAAATATTTTTGGTTAAAATAAAATAATTAAGTTTTGAATGGTTAAACTTCAGTTACTTAACAAATCCATTCATATAAAATATCTTTTTCCAAAAAATTGAATAAATGAGGTCTTACTCCAATGCCTTATTTTTTCCCCCAAGATCATTAATTAACTTTTCATTTTGCTGCACCTCATTTGATCCCAAGGGTAAACACATAAGGTAAAGACAGCAGGTATCATTAGTTATATATGGAGGAAAGGGAAACTGAAACACAGAGAAATTGATGTTTATCTAAGGTGACACAGGGACTAGGCCAGAATTAGAGAGACTTACTGACTTCTCAGTCAAGAGCTGTTCTGGTCCTTCCCACCTCTTCTCTCTTTTGCTTGCAATGTCCTTTCTATCTAACCATTCCTTGCCCCCTTTCTCCTCCAGCTACCTCTCACCCTTCCTTCAAGATCATGTGGCATCACCCCTCCAGCAGCCCTTCCATCTGTCATCTCACTGCTTTATCATCCTCACCTCGGTGGTCCCCAAACCTGGCTGCTCATGAGAGCCAAAAGGAAGCTTTGAAATAACTGGATGCCTGGGCCCCTCCCCACACCAATGAAGTAAAAATATTTGCAGATAAGACAAAAGCATCACTATTTTTTAAATCTCCCAGGTGATTTCCAGGCACAGCCCAGTTTGAGAACCAATGTTGTGCATGGCTCGATGACATCACTCACATAATTGCACTTCGTTTTCTTCGCTACTTGGATGTAAACTTTAAAGAAGCAGGATTATGTCGGTTTAACTTTAAATCCTTGGCCCCTATGTAACTAGTATATGTTAGGTGCTATTGAATTAATAAACAGCCCAATCTATTCACGCTGATGCCAAAATTTCAGTGTGACACTCAATTGAGACCAGCCACACAGAGGGCAGAGGGCAGGCACCATAAGAGACTACGTGGGCATCTTTTCTGTCCCACAGCCTCCCTGTTTCTTTATAAATAAGTTGGTATTCTCAGGATTAGAGGTGTCTTGGGTATTATTTTTCTATCCTCTCCCAAGGTCAATGGCAGGGTAGCATGTACCAATTGAAATCATAATGGCAAAGCCTTGCTGTGATGATCAAGTACTATGCTCTATAACAAAAGAAGAAAAGTCCTTGCCTCTTAGCTGCTTAAAACAAGATAAACACCACCAATAAAATAAGCACTAAAACTGTTCCCTTCTCCGGGATTGCTCACTTCCTTCCACCCACCTAAAACCTACGTATTGTTGGACACCTAGGTTGCTTCTTTATCTCGGCTCTTGTAAACAGTGCTGCAATGGTCCTAGGGGTGCATATGTATTTTCAAATGACTGTTTTTGATCTTTGAATAAATACTCAGAAGTGGACTTGTTGGGTCCTATAGTAGTTCTATTTTTAATTTTCTGAGGACCTTCCATATATTTTCCATAGTATTGCACTAGTTCACAATCCCATCAACAGTACACGAGAGTTCCCTTTCCTCCACATCCTCACAAGCACTTGTTTGTTGCCTTTTTGACAATAGCCATTCTGATGTGTGTGAGGTGATATCACATTGTGGTTTTTATTTGCATTTTGGTGATGATTAGTGATGTTGAGCATCTTTTATTTGTCTGTTCGCCATCTGTATGTCTTTAAATGTCTATTCAGGTCTTCTGCCCATTTTTTTTTATTAGATTGTGTTTTGATGTTGAGTTGTAGGAGTTATTTATATGTTTGGATATTAACCCCTTATTAAATATATCATTTGCAAATATCTTCTTCCATTCAGTAGGTTGCCTATTCATTTTGCTGATGGTTTTCTTCACTAGGCACAAGCTTTTTAGTTTGATGTAGTCCCTTTTATTTTTGCTTTTGTTGCATTTGCCCAGGGAGTCATACTGCCAAGACTGACATCAAAGAGTTCACTGCCCTATGTTTTAATATAAGAGTTTCATGGTTTCAGGACTTACGTTCAAGTCTTTAATCCACTTGAGATTATTTTTGTATATGAGAAAGTGATCCAGTTTCACTTATTTTTATGTGTCTGTCTAGTTTTTGTAACACCATTTATTAAAGCGACTGTCTTTTACCCATTGTGTATTATTGCCCTCTTTGTCACAGATTAATTGACCATACAAGCATGGGTTTATTTCTAGGCTCTCTATTCTGTTCCATTGATCTATGTGTCTGTTTTTGTGCCAGTGCCAGACAGCTTTGATTCCTATAGTTTGTAGCACATTTTGAAATCAGGGAACATGGTACTGCCAATGTTGTTCTGTACTGCCTATATTGTTTAGCTAGTTGGGGTCTTTTGTAGTTCCAATTTTCACACTGTTTATCACCCAAGACTATAGCTTACCTTTGTTTAGGAGGGTGTTTGTATATTTATTTGTTTAAATAGAATAGAATCATTCTTATTAATATACTACTCATCAGAGACTCATTATCTTTTCTCAATATTTACTACCACACACTGCTCAAGATTAGGCACATCAACAGATGAGATAATAGGGGTAAGAGTATCCCTGTGGTTCTGATAACCAAAACTGTCTCCAGACATTGCTAACCTTCCCCTAGGGACAAAATCGCCCCCAGATGAGAACCACTGCCTTAGCTGGATACATTTATCGGATGCCTGGACTCTGCGCCTTCTGTAGTAGCAAGGCAGGAAAGATAAGCATGCAGTGATTCCTCCCTTCTTCACCCACTCCTAACACTGCTGACTACTGCTATTCTGGACCACACATCTCACCAGCACACTGTCTGATATGCATCAAGCAGAATCAATCGAGTCCCTAACGTTAAATCCCCAACAAGTTTCCATTCTAAAAACCTAATGTAAGAAAAGGTGCACACAGATACAGAAAGCAATGAAATATAAGTTGTAAGAGAGACGTGTGTAGAAATGTTTGGAAAAGTGCATATGGTAATAACGATAAATGCTAATGGGTGTTGAGACCATTCACATGTCAGTCAGTGTGTTTGTTGTTTTGTAAGTACTTTGTTAATTAACCCTCCAAATGAGATTTTAAGGAAGGTACCATTCATGTAATTTTCATCCTCAATAAAATGGGAGATAATAAGAGAAATTAAACTTACATGATAATAATAATTCATAGATATTGAGTGTATTATGTCAGTCAGTTTTAAATGTAAATGCTAATCTAATTCAATCCTCACATCAATGTTATAAGTAGGAATCATTCTTTTTCCATATTTTAAAAGGGCACAATTAAGCATTGAGAGCTTAAGCAATTTGCTGAAAGTCATACAGCTAAAAAGCAGCAAAATTAGGGCTCAAATAAGGCAGGTGGCTTTGAGCCAGGAGCTTAACCTCCCTGTAAGCTGCCTCTCCTGGCTGGTGAGAGGAGGGATGGGGTTTGAACCCAGCCATTCCTTCCAGAAGCAAGGATCATAGCCATCATGTCCCATTGCCTCCTCTCCCCATACCCACCATGTAAGTCCTTTTAGGGAATATAAATGCATTCTGTATACATTTTCAATATCTCTGAAAATGTTGGTTCTAGAATAAATGAACTGCAAATGATTCATATTGGTGATAATCAGTCAGAAAGAAAAAATGCTGGGAATAGAAAAATGAGGTTGGGCCGATAGGAGAGGAATAATGAATGGAGGTTTTTGCAGAAGCTTCAAAAAAAATAAACACAGTTGAGAAAAGAACATTTGGGGTTTGGGTATGACTCTTCTTTAGGTCTATGAGAATGGAATGAGCTGAGACATGTGTAAGAGGACCCAGGAGACTCCCATGAGTACAGGGTAGGGGAAGAGAGGCATGCCTGCTCGGATAGGCCAGGTAGGTTAATAATTGCCACTGACACCCCTTCCATAGCAAGCATCCAAGTCCCTTCTCATTTCCAGGACCTAAGTGATGACAAGTTGGACTATACGGCCAGCAACAGTATCCAGCACTGAACCAGCCATGAGATGGATCAAGCTCCCTGTGCTTAATGTCGGCAACAAAGTAAAGCTAAATTTGCAAGTATCCCCTTGAAATTAAATGGAAGGAAACTTCCAGAAAGTTTCTAGAAAGCACTAAATTTAAAAAATTGTAAC